TCTTGCTTCTCTAGTTCTTTAATTGCGATGTTAGAGTGTCAATTTTAGATCTTTCCTGCTTTCTCTTGTGGCATTTAGTGCTATAAATTTCCCTCTACACACTGCTTTAAATGTGTCCCAGAGATTCTGGTATGTTGTATCTTTGTTCTCATTGGTTTCAAAGAACATCTTCATTTCTGCCTTCATTTTGTTATGTACCCAGTAGTCATTCAGGAGCAGGTTGTTCAGTTTCCATGTAGTTGAGCTGTTTTGATTGAGTTTCTTAGTCCTGAGTTCTAGTTTGATTGCACTGTGGTCTGAGAGACAGTTTGTTATAATTTCTGTTCTTGTACATTTGCTGAGGAGTGCTTTACTTCCAATTATGTGGTCAATTTTGGAGTAAGTACGATGTGGTGCTGAGAAGAATGTATATTCTGTTGATTTAGGGTGGAGAGTTCTATAGATGTCTATTAGGTCTGCTTGCTGCAGAGATGAGTTCAATTCCTGGATATCCTTGTTAACTTTCTGTCTCGTTGATCTGTCTAATGTTGACAGTGGAGTGTTGAAGTCTCCCATTATTATTGTATGGGAGTCTAAGTCTCTTTGTAAGTCTCTAACGCCTTGCTTTATGAATCTGGGTGTTCCTGTATTGGGTGCAGATATATTTAGGATAGTTAGCTCTTCCTGTTGAATTGATCCCTTTACCATTATATAATGGCCTTCTTTGTCTCTTTTGATCTTTGATGGTTTAAAGTCTGTTTTATCAGAGACTAGTATTGCAACTCTTGCTTTTTTTTGTTCTCCATTTGCTTGGTAAATCTTCCTCCATCCCTTTATTTTGAGCCTATGTATGTCTCTGCATGTGAGATGGGTTTCCTGAATACAGCAGACTGATGGGTCTTGACTCTATCCAGTTTGCCAGTCTGTGTCTTTTAATTGGAGCATTTAGTCCATTTACATTTAAGGTTAATATTGTTATGTGTGAACTTGATCCTGCCATTATGATATTAACTGGTTATTTTGCTCGTTAGTTGATGCAGTTTCTTCCTAGCCTAAATGGTCTTTACATTTTGGCATGTTTTTGCAATGGCTGGTACCGGTTGTTCCTTTCCATGTTGAGTGCTTCCTTCAGGGTCTCTTGTAAGGCAGGCCTAGTGGTGAGAAAATCTCTAGGCATTTGCTTATCTGTAACGGATTTTATTTCTCCTTCACTTATGAAACTTAGTTTGGCTGGATATGAAATTCTGGGTTTAAAATTCTTTTCTTTAAGAATGTTGAATATTGGCCCCCACTCTCTTCTGGCTTGTAGAGTTTCTGCCGAGACATCAGCTGTTAGGCTGATGGGCTTCCCTTTGTGGGTAACCTGACTTTTCTCTCTGGCTGCCCCTAAGATTTCTTCCTTCATTTCAACTTTGGTGAATCTGGCAATTATGTGTCTTGGAGTTGCTCTTCTCGAGGAGTATCTTTGTGGCATTCTCTGTATTTCCTGGATTTGAATGTTGGCCTGCCCTACTAGGTTGGGGAAGTTCTCCTGGATGATATCCTGAAGAGTGTTTTCCAACTTGGTTCCATTTTCCCCCTCACTTTCAGGCACCCCAATCAGACGTAGATTTGGTCTTTTTACATAATCCCATACTTCTTGCAGGCTTTGTTCATTTCTTTTTCTTCTTTGTTCTTTTGGTTTCTCTTCTCGCTTCATTTCATTCATTTGATCCTCAATCGCTGATACTCTTTCTTCCAGTTGATTGAGTCGGTTACTGAAGCTTGTGCATTTGTCACGTATTTCTCGTGTCATGGTTTTCATATCTTTCATTTCGTTTATGACCTTCTCTGCATTAATTACTCTAGCCATCAATTCTTCCACTTTTTTTCCAAGATTTTTAGTTTCTTTGTGCTGGGTACATAATTCCTCCTTTAGCTCTGAGAAATTTGATGGACTGAAGCCTTCTTCTCTCATCTCATCAAAGTCATTCTCCTCCAGCTTTGACCGTTGCTGGCGATGAGCTGCGCTCCTTTGCCGGGGGAGATGCGCTCTTATTTTTTGAATTTCCAGCTTTTCTGCCCTGCTTTTTCCCCATCTTTGTGGTTTTATCTGCCTCTGGTCTTTGATGATGGTGATGTACTGATGGGGTTTTGGTGTAGGTGTCCTTCCTGTTTGATAGTTTTCCTTCTAACAGTCAGGACCCTCAGCTGTAGGTCTGTTGGAGATTGTTTGAGGTCCACTCCAGACCCTGTTTGCCTGGGTATCAGCAGCAGAGGCTGCAGAAGATAGAATATTTCTGAACAGTGAGTGTACCTGTCTGATTCTTGCTTTGGAAGCTTCCTCTCAGGGGTGTACTCCACCCTGTGAGGTGTGGGGTGTCAGACTGCCCCTAGTTGGGGATGTCTCCCAGTTAGGCTACTCAGGGGTCAGGGACCCACTTGAGCAGGGAGTCTGTCCCTTCTCAGATCTCAACCTCCATGTTGGGAGATCCACTGCTCCCTTCAAAGCTGTCAGACAGAGTCGTTTGTGTCTGCAGAGGATTCTGCTGCTTTTGTTATTGTTTACTGTGCCCTGTCCCCAGAGGTGGAGTCTACAGAGACAGGCAGGTTTCCTTGAGCTGCTGTGAGCTCCACCCAGTTCGAGCTTCCCAGCGGCTTTGTTTACCTACTTAAGCCTCAGCAATGGCGGGCGCCCCTCCCCCAGCCTCGCTGCTGCCTCGCTGGTAGATCACAGACTGCTGTGCTAGCAATGAGGGAGGCTCCATGGGCGTGGGACCCTCCTGGGCAGGTGTGGGATATAATCTCCTGGTGTGCCTGTTTGCTTAAAGCACAGTATTGGGGTGGGAGTTACCCGATTTTCCAGGTGTTGTGTGTCTCAGTTCCCCTGGCTAGGAAAAGGGATTCCCTTCCCCCTTGAGCTTCCCAGGTGAGGCGATGCCTCGCCCTGCTTCAGCTCTGGCTGGTCGGGCTGCAGCAGCTGACCAGCACCGATTGTCTGGCACTCCCCAGTGAGATGAACCCAGTACCTCAGTTGAAAATGCAGAAATCACCGGTCTTCTGTGTCGCTCATGCTGGGAGTTGGAGACTGGAGCTGTTCCTATTCGGCCATCTTGCTCCACCCCCGTCCTACATTGTTTTTATAAACTGTGAGTTTTAAGTGATTCAAGGATAAAAAAAATCTTTTTTCTTCCCACTTATTTCCTTTTCATATGTAATAGTCATATATTCTACATCTGTATTTGTACTTCTGGATAATATGATATGTGTAAATATGCAAGTTGTCATTCTATGGCCTGAGTCAATCAACTATCCAGTAAAATACAGACACTTTTCTGAAGAATGCCATTAAATTAATTATAATGCATTTCACAATTGTATAGTATTTGTTTCTCTTCATAAATTAAAAGGTTAATTAATTGACACATATGGTAATTTTATTGTCATAGGTCTCCTTTTTCGTAACTCAAAATATTTTAAATTAAAACAAGTTTTATGTCATGTGTTTCCATTAAAGAGCAAAGGGGCATGTCTTAAAATATAGTGAAAACGTGGAATGATAAAACTAGCAACTGTTTTCTAGATATTTTCTTGTATAGCGATAATTTTTTTTTTTTTTTTTTTTTTTTTTTTTTTTTTTTTTTTTTTTTTTTGAGACAGAGTCTCGATCTGTCACCCGAGCTGGAGTGCAGTGGCCGGATCTCAGCTCACTGCAAGCTCCACCTCCCGGGTTTACGCCATTCTCCTGCCTCAGCCTCCCGAGTAGCTGGGACTACAGGCGCCTGCCACCTCGCCCGGCTAGTTTTTCGTATTTTTTAGTAGAGACGGGGTTTCACCGTGTTAGCCAGGATGGTCTCGATCTCCTGACCTTGTGATCCACCTGTCTCGGCCTCCCAAAGGATAATTTTTTATCTTGCAATTTTCATCTTGTATTATAGACATACTATGTATGAAATGTCACAATTTTATATGGAATAAGGTGATCTATTCTCTTGGTCAACTTACATCTAGCAAGGAAGCTAATACACAGATACGAAGTTGATAAAATTTATTTTTAAAATGATAAATCCTTGCATAGCAAATTCTGAGTAATAGGAACTATTTTAAGTGCCTTGGATAACCATGTGACTTAGTGGATACTCACAACAACCCTATGAGGTAGGCGCCATTGTTATCCTCGTTTTATAGATGAGAAAACTGAGGCACTGAGATAAGAATTGACTTGCCTGGGAGCACATAATAGTGAGTGATTGTTCTGTGATGGAAATCCCAGAAGTATGGCTCTAGAGTCTGTCCAACTAACCTCTAGGCTACATGCCAATGTCAGATATGAAAGGAGAAGAACACTTTTCATCACAATTAATGATTGCTAAGGAAATCTTTCACATAACAATTAGAACGGGGCTTTGAAAAATGAAAAGTGGGGTTAATCAAGATTTTAAGTGTGTAGCAGAGAGAGGAAGGGCAGGTAGCCCTAAGGAAAAGAGTTAGAGAAACATAAGGGTAAAGGAAGGAAAATGCAATATACATTAAAGCGATCATAAACAGGGCAGTTAGACAGGATGGAGTTTTTATTTAGAATTGTGAGAGTTAGAAAGATGAATATGTTCCAAGGGTTTCACTGAATATTATTGGATGCATTATATCATTACTTCTATTAAAATAAAATTTATCCTAAAACTCATAGAATTATTCTTAAACCCATTTCCTACATAAATTAGTGATGATATTGGCAAGGATGTGTGTGTGTGTGTGTGTGCGTGTGTGTGAATCTTAAATGTCAATCTGTTATTAACCTCATGATACATTTTTCTCACTGACTCACCCATAACACTAAGATATCATCATATCAGGAATTAGCTTCTTTCTTAAAGAAGACGTTTTAAATGAATATATAAACACACACATTATATATATACATTATATATATGTGTATATATACACAAAATTTGGACACTTATAAAAACGTCTGGGTAAGCTTTTGCCAGATGAGAATGCAAAATCGAAGAGCAGCAGGTTATATCACTCTGTTTTCTTTTCAGGTAAACCAGTGATGATAGTGACAGAGTATATGGAGAATGGCTCTTTAGATACATTTTTAAAGGTAGGATTTGGAATAATTTAGTTATTCAAGGTGTTATTTATATATTGGCTGTGATGTTCAAGTTGAAATTGGGCCACTTTAAAGCTTAAGTTTTTAATAGAATAGAAATGTATGGAGCCACAATAATTATACTCCAAAATGAACATTGGTTTGTTTTAGAAAACTCACACAAATCCAAATTATATGCCCCTAAAGAGTTATTTAAGTATGTTTTAATTTGCAAAAAAAAAAAAAAAAAAAAAAAAATGCAGTGAAGTGAGAGGTAATAAGGGAGGAAAAGAAAAATTTTTAAAAAAGAAATGTAAAAAGGGAAAAAAGGAAAAAATAAGGTGTTACAAGTGTTCGATTTTCTCATAGTTTATCAGGTAGCGTGAGAAACCCTGTAAATAGCCCAGGCAAGTCATTAATATAGGGGTCAAGTTGGAGCCTATAAGTGCTGCTAATCCACCTAAAGACCAGTCACTACTTGCAGCAGCAGAGGTTATGTGGTAATTGACAATAGCAAATATTATCAGATCACCAGCGTTTCAGGGGAAGGTTTTTTTCTTTTGTGTGCAAATCTCTACATTTTAAATATCGGCAACCCACTTTATTAGTAAATAGCTTGTGTTAGACAATGTAACATATTTGCAGGCCTGATTAAACATATAGGCTGGCAGTTTGTAATATTAATATAGTACTCATTACCATTGGTAGGAAAAAGTGATAGCACAATGGCATTGATAACAATTGTAAGAGGAACCTATGCCATGAATTTGATAATGATCCACTGAAAAGCCAAATTTTTCTTCCTATTGGCAGACCCTGCCAAATTATTTTATCAAATTTTCTAACCATACTTTTAAGTACTCCAGTCTCTTAGAGTCACATCATTCCTTTATTTTAAAATAGCCATCCGTTGAGCCTTATGAGTTTATGTAACTGAAATAATTTCAGTGCCCTTGACAAAGATGACAAACTTCCAAAAATTGCTAATATTGTCCTGATCACTGCTCAGTCACCTGTCTCCCATCTGCTGTTGCAGAAACTCCTTTATCTCCTCTGTCCATTTATTCTTTACCTTAATATGTCTATCCAGTTAGCTTCTTTTAAATCACCTCAAAATAGTACAGTGTTGACCCAAGGTAGATACTAGGTTGGAGTGTGAACAAACCCTTCTGATGACTGAGAATAAAGGAGTTATGATGCAGAAAAAGGCAACTACATAAGATTTTTGGCCAGGATTTTCAAAACCTTTATCTGCTTTATCCAAGCAGAGGAAAAATAAACATTACCAAGTTAACCATATACTTCCTACCATTTTCCACTCTCCTTCAGATAGAAATCGCATATGAATTTTAGTGATTGATCTTATCAATTTGGGGGATTGAATACAGACCTCTCATATTTTCTCCAAGTGATTGGTGTTGCTAGACTAATATTTCTACATTGTCTTTACAGAAAAATGATGGGCAGTTCACTGTGATTCAGCTTGTTGGCATGCTGAGAGGTATTGCTGCAGGAATGAAGTACCTTTCTGACATGGGTTATGTGCATAGAGACCTTGCTGCTAGAAACATCTTAATCAACAGTAACCTTGTGTGCAAAGTGTCTGACTTTGGACTTTCCCGGGTACTGGAAGATGATCCCGAGGCAGCCTACACCACGAGGGTAAGATCTAATAGAGTGCATTTCTGAAACAGTAGACCAGAGCCATTTAATTTTTAAAGATTCTAAAAGAAATATCTAAAAGAGCATTCCTGCAACAGAGAGAGAGAGAGAGATAGTGAGAGGGAGAGAGAAAATCAAAAGTCAAAAAATTCTTCCTTTTATGTATCAGCCGATTTAAATATTAACTTTAGAATATCTGAGTCTCAATAATTCATTTTTTTCTGAAGATACTAAAAACAAAAAATCTTACTTCAAAATGGATACAGTATGCAAGAATAATCATCTTAAATTTAAAAGTAAAGAGTTAAACACAGAATCTCCTACATTAAAGGTTTTACATATATAGTGCGTGTATGTCTGTATACACACGTATATATGAATATGTAAACATGTATAATATTATTGCGTATTGTAAGCTCTCTGCATTATACTGTCTTTACTTGTAAAATCAATACAGAAATATCTAGTTCCCACCTTTTAAGGATTTACATTGTGGTGAAAAAAGAGCTATTCCTTCAAAAAGTTTTGATTTCCTGGAGGTATTGTAATACCTAGTTAAAAACTGTTAAATCTACACTATGGAAAATTGATCACTAACTCATATTGTCATATTTCATGTAAGTCAACCCTCTTTTCTATCAAAGTAATTGCTTGCTGTATTGATATGGTATATAATTGACATTTTTTTCTGTGAAAAACTGGATATTGCTACAACAGAATCTTATGGGTGATCTATAATGTCATACTTCTTGATTTTGAATTCCTTATGATAAACAGTATTTGCTTAATTATAAATACGTTCAGTGTCTTCAAGTTGGTTATCCTCAATGTCTAAGACCCTTGTGAAGATAGAGATTTGTCATTGTTTCCTTTTCTCTATACAATTTGATATATCTCATTCTCAAAGTAATATACATGTTTTCTTATTTAATTCAACTTTTAAAAATTACATCCACAGGTAGTCTAACAATAAGTTCTCTTCAGATTATAAGGGTTTTATAAAAACCTTTTTGCTTTGTGATTCATGGGGATTTGTACTTTGCTGAAGGGCAAAAGTAACTTGTCAAAGCAAACAAAGACTTCCAGTGGTCAGCTTAATCAATAAAGTATTTGGGGGGATATCTTTCCTCTTCCAGACCTATCATTGTCATTATTTGTATTACATGAAACCTTGATTAAGAATTATCTTGGGAATAGAGTTACCTTTAATAAATTTGGCCGGAGCAAGATTGAGGTTATACAAATATCCATTGCCAGTGGGATTGGTTGTTGTCTTAGTTAAGTGCAAAAAGTAGATTTTTCAAGATTTGTGTTAGTGTGTTATGCTAAAGAGTAAAGTGAGAGATGGAGAACCTGAAACCTTCAAGGCTTATTCCTCTGAAATGGGGTATAGTGGCAACCTGTGGAAAACCTATATACTGAGAGATGAGAAGATAAGGAACTTCAGATTTATTGATGACACCAAGGATGATCAGAGGACCAGGAGAAAAAGTATGGGCTAAGGTTTAATATAATCAACAAATGACAATTATAAAAGAATATTAATAAGACATTCTAGAATATCTCTGCATAGCTAGGACTCATAATGCTATCTTGCTTATGAATATTTAATGAATAAGAATAAGTTTCAGGTAAGTCTTCTTAAAAAGATGTTACCATATATCTAAAGAGCAAATAATTCAAACCTAACTTCAATTCCCAAAATAATTGTTAGTATGATCCCAAACTGTTATTTCCTTATATATATATTGAAACTTTGGTTCATAAACATCAATTTAAGCCCTATTTTTTTCTTTTGCAGTATAAATTAAATCTTTCCCTTCCTGCAAAATGGGAAGGCATATGTTAGTCTTTTTACAATAAAATATTGAAAAATTTCACCTATTTCTCTTTCATTACATATTTGATGGTAGATGAAATGTATGGGGTCGGGCACGGTGACTCAGGCTTGTAATTCCAGCACTTTGGGAGGCTAAGGTGGGCGGATCACGAGGTCAGGAGATTGAGACAATCCTGGCTAACATGGTGAAACTCCGTCTCTACGAAAAATACAAAAAAATAAATGAAAAATAAAAAATTATCCGGGCGTGATGGCGGGCACCTGTAGTCCCAGCTACTTGGGAGGCTGAGACAGGAGAATGGCATGAATCCGGGAGGCAGAGCTTGCAGTGAGCTGAGATCGTGCCGTAGCACTCCAGCCTGGGCGACAGAATGAGACTCCGTTTCAAAAAAAAAAAAAAAAAGTTAAGAAAATAATAATTTCACCCTGAAAGAGGCATGATATAAAAGTGCTTATTGTATGAACTAAGGGTAAGTCTACCAAATCAATTTTTATGCAAAAAAAAAAAAAAAAAAAAAAAAAAAAAAAAAAAAAAAAAAAAAAACTTGATAATGTGGTAAGATTTTCCCCCAATCCAATTTCAATAATTTTTAATTTGGTTGAGTCAAACAAGGCACCCTCCTCTTAAACAGTTGAACCAAAGAAAAACAAAAATAAGACAACAAAGAAAAAGAGAAAAGCAAGTCTAAGAGAAATAACACAACATCAAGGGAACGTGTAACTTTGTTTCAATATATCCAATGTTAGGCTGGGCCCACTAGCTCATGCCTGTAATCCCAGCACTTTGGGAGACTGAGGTGGGTGAATCGCTCGAGGTCAGGAGTTCGAGAGTAGCCTAGCCAACATGGCGAAACCCTGTCTCTATTAAAAATACAAAAATTAGCCAGGCATGATAGCGCACGCCTGTAGTCCCAGCTACTCAGGAGGCTGAGGTGTGAGAATCACTTGAATCTGGGAGGTGGGGTTTGCAGTGAGTGGAGATCTCACCACTGCACTCCAGCCTAGGAGACAGAGCGAGACCCTGTCTCAAAAACAAAATATCTCCAGTGTTCATGCTTGTCTTATTAACTGCTAAACAGCTCAGGGTCACATTCATGAACCTGTAATTTCCACTTACAATTTCTGTATTAAAGAAACAAAGCACCCAGGGAATTTGAGTCCTTTACTCTCTGTTAGGAAGTCATGAGAGTATACCTTATTGGTTTGTTTGCCTGCCTGCTTTCCCTTACTTAGAGCTGCCATACTGAGGACTGTAATTGAGATGTGGTTTCTGTACGTAATTTAGTAGTCACACAGAATTTAAACTAGAAACCTTCCAGACAGCCAATTAGTAGTTAGTCTACAACTGCGTATGGGCTGAGAGATGTGAAAAGAGACTGTGTGCTGTCAAACAGATTCACTTAAAAATGCTACATCTCTGTCTAGATCTTTTCAGTGAGGCAACACTGTCCCTAGATACATTTGAAGTATGTAGGAAGTTTTTAAAATCGTTTTCAATTTTAGGGAGGAAAAATTCCAATCAGATGGACTGCCCCAGAAGCAATAGCTTTCCGAAAGTTTACTTCTGCCAGTGATGTCTGGAGTTATGGAATAGTAATGTGGGAAGTTGTGTCTTATGGAGAGAGACCCTACTGGGAGATGACCAATCAAGATGTGAGTATGGAACTACTCTTTCTCAACTTGACAATGAAATGCTTTGTTCTCTGAGTCAAGACACTTACAATGTTTTTCATTTCTGAAAGTGACAGTTGCTTAAGAAAATGAAATACTTTGCTTACTCTCTGATCTGTTTTGTGTTGTTGAAATATCCTTTATGCAGGAGCTCAAAATGAGTTAGTACAAAGGAAAGTAAGTTACAGTTATATAAAAACTCAGTCCCTTGCCAGTCAGTTTTAGCTGTACTGTAGTGATGTTTCACTCAATTCATGTCAGTATCATTTTCAAAGATAAAGAAAGAGCCATCAAAGAATGAATACTGACAGGCAAGTTTTTATGATTTGCATTTGATAAAGGCAGCTAATACTCCAAGCCAAAAGGATGAATGATATTGATTTAATAGTGGAAGCTCTTAGAGGATAAAAAGGAATAGTCTACATTTCTTTAAATTAAAAAAAAAAATGTAAGAAGAGTTGTATTGTTTATTTAACTTGAAAGAAAAAACAGATTTTCCCTACAATAGAAAAATAATTCATACTTACAATAATAGAATCCTAAAATTAAAGGAACTATGAAAGAATCTTCTGTTCAAATTCACAACGTTTATTATGTGATGCCTGACACATGGCTCTTTAATCTTTCCCTTTGTAATTTTCCATCATTACTATTCAATACAGCCCTTTCTGTTTTGGATCATATGGAAATTTCATATTTTTTTCTTTTGAGGAACAACAATTATAAAAGTAGCTAACATTTATTAAACCTTTACCATATGACATACACTGTCTTAAGTGCTTTACCAACTATTTTATTACTTCTTTGTAAAGCTGGTATATTGAATAGTTTTAATTTAATAATGTGCTTATTTGAAACACTTTTTTCTCTCCCATTATTTCTGTCATCCATGCTCTATAAAACCTCCCTCTCGCATGCCTTCAGGGTTGGTTAGACAGATACTACATAGATCTCCAGCTGAATTTTGTTGAAACAACAATGCCGGTAGTTAACACTGACTTTCCAGCCCAAAAATTCTAATCCAACCAAAAAGTGAATCCCATATTCATTTCAAAGTGTTTTCCACAACTGGAGGCCTAGCCTAACCATAGGTACCTATAGTGTGAAACAAGTATGGTCAGATATTTGCCCCTCCTCCTCTGCCAAAGTCTGTATCAGGATTCTTCAGGATTGGTCTGGGTGGAGAGGTAGAAAAGAAGGGGATAAATGTCTTCTTTTGGGAAGCATCTGTTCATATCCTTTGCCCACTTTTTGATGGGGTTGATTTTTTTCTTGTAAATTTGTTTGAGTTCTTTGTAGATTCTGGATATTAGCCCTTTGTCAGATGGGTAGATTGCAAAAATTTTCTCCCATTCTATAGGTTGCCTGTTCACTCTGATGGTAGTTTCTTTTGCTGTGTAGAAGCTCTTTAGTTTAATTAGATCCCATTTGTCTATTTTGGCTTTTGTTGCCATTGCTTTTAGTGTCTTAGTCATGAAGTCCTAGAACTTAAAGTATAATAATAATAAAAAAAAGAAAATGAAACCATAACTTCACACCATGTATATATAAAATATTGGAATATTGAAATGTCAAAATATCAAAATCAGAATATAAAATGATAGAAGAAAAATTTTGATTATATTTAGTTTTTCTTTAAAAACAGGAAAAATCCTTGAGCCATTTAAGAAAAGAGTTGGATAGCTTTCACTAACAAAATTATAAATTTCTGTGTTGAAAAATGCACAACAAAAAGTAAGAAATACAAATTTAGACTGAGAAAATATTTTCAATACGGCATTATAAACAAAAATGTAGTGTACTTATACAATGAGACTTAATAAAGCATTAAGAAAAATAGAAACAATAGGCAAAGCATAAGATTTGGCAAGATTCATTGGATGGAATGCAGATGGCCAATAAATGTATGAAAAAATGTTTAACTTTTTCAGTGAAAGAAACACAAATTAGAAAAAAGAAAAAGAAAGAAATAAAAGAAGGGGCATGATTGCTACTATAATGTGAGGATATGGATGCCTCCTGTGAGACAAATTGCCCAGGCATCAGTTCTCAAGTGAGTTATCTGTCTGAGTTCTTCCAAAGACCCTTGATGAAGCCCTTTTGTCTGCAAGGTCCCTAGAGGAGGAGGATGTCCTCCGACTTTCCATAGTTCTTTTCACTTGCTGTCTGTTCCTCACCTCACAGTCTCTTACTGTTCTGGCTCTGTGTCCACGTTACTGGGGAGAAAAACATTCTTATTGGATGCACTAGCAGTGCCTTCTCTTTGCAGACATCTATTGCAGGCTGCTCCAGTCAGCCTTCTTCAAATTTCCGCAGAAGAAAAGCCAGGGTCACACATCAGCTTTACCATGAATGATTTCATAGCATTCTTCTTTGATCGAAACAGCAAATTGGAGTTATGGATTTCTGCTTCTCAGTAAGCAAACCGGATGGCAATGAGTCTCCCCTTCTTATAGTCACTTAAAATTGCTAACGTTTGTTTTCTTTATGCACTGCTTACTTGGCTTGGGGAGGGAAGCACTGACTGCCATTTCTCTAAATCTGAGAAAATGGTATATATTGTCTTCAGCTTTATGATTTTAGGGACAGGACCATGGCAAAACGATATCATTAAATCCCTATTACATATATTTATACTTATATTTAACAATCTTGTGTCAGAGGGATGCTATTATTATTACTGTTTTACAATTAAGACACTGAAGCTTGGAGATGTTAAATGACTTATTTATCATCACAGAAATAATGAAAGTGATACCAGAAATTTCAATCTAGCTCTAAAAAATTTGTGTATCTAAGCACCACACTGTCTCCAGTTGAATCAATGTCCCCTACCTCCCTTTCATTTCTAACCAATAGTCCTACATCAGCTTTCTAATTTAATATAAAATATAAAATGTTCAATTCAATATATGATTACTCTGGATTGATCTTGATCTTAGTCTAGACTAAGACCAGACCCATTTACTCCTTTCTATTCTTCAGATAAATGCCAAATGCTAACATGTCCTGCAGAACACTACGTGGTTTCATTTCTAACTTATCTAAAGCTCATTGCAATGCCATTCTTCCCTTTAATTTTTGTGAAAGTATTTTAATCCATCCTGGCATCGAGCCTCGATATGCTGGTTTCTACCATGTGTCTACTTCACTCAAGGGAAACATTCATCCCTTATTTGCCTGGTTAACTTCTGCTCACACTTGAGATATTTTGAATTCTGATCCTGTCACTCAGAATGATTAGTCTTTCCCAGTTGTGCAACAGAACATCCACGTTATCAGGAATTATGCCTAATACAGTTGTATCTGTCACAGACACAATTATACACCGGTGCAAACACTGGTGCTAGGTGAATGTTCATAACTGTGCTGATCTTAACTAGGCTTTCTTATGTTCCTGGGGGCCGGTGGGTTATTATGCCTTGGCCCTCCTCCACAAGTCTCTTATTTTCCTCCTGAGACCAGCAGCTAGCCCAAACATAATTTCATTTGAAAAATGGCTGAAGGGTAAGAAGGAGCCCAATTACATCTCAGCCTGCAACATGTCTACTAAAATCTCACTGGCCAATCCCATAATCAAAGTGCTGAGTCAATGACACTACTCTTTGTGGGTGGACACTATAAAGTTGCATAAATAAGTGAATAAAAGTTCATTTATCTAATGCTTAATCTCTTCTTTAACATTATAGTATCATCTATTTTTACTCTCTTAGTGTTTTCTTTGTGATTTTTATTTTTCCTTTTGCCTTTCATTTTTTTTTCCTGATTTCAGCTATTTGAGTGTCTTGATACTCTTTCAGATAACTTTATTTCAAATTATTTAGAAAAATACAAGAAATTGCTTATGTAACATTTCAGGAAGTTTTAAGAAAGAAAAAAAAAACCCTAATATTTTGGTTTCTACTTGGTTTTCTCAGGATTTAAATGAAGTTTACAGAAAATGATCATACAAATAAACATCTTTCTAAAATATCTGTCTATATACAATGTCTAATACATGCATTGTTACTTTCTCAGCTAGTTCATCAGTGGCATTTCAGTTTTCAGATACAGCACTAAATTTCCTATGCTCTAATTTCTGTCCAAATTTTGTATCCAAGAAACAGGACAAATCAACTATATTCAATGATCACGATCACTAAATTTTTTTTGGAGAAAAATTCTCAAAAAACAAAGTAGAAGTACTGATTTGGCAATTTCAAATGATATATTCCATAATCTCCACATTCTAGATGCTGTCTGATTCTTAAAGGGCTTTGCCACCATGAAAATGTTACATTACCAAGACATGCAGGATAATCTAAATCTCACAGAGGAGAACTTCCTCTGTGTCAGGAGGACAAAATGCAGCAGGATTCTTTTGATTTAGGATTGCCTCTTCCATCACGAAGAAAACCTGTAATAACGATAATAAAAATAAACTAGAACGACTAAGGTGATTTTAGGTAAATACCAGACCATGAACTCTGATTCATGCTCGGAAGCTAAGATAATATCATGTAGTCAGTAGAAGCCTATTTATTGATAGTAAATACTTTAAATGTCAACATTTTTCAGAAGCTAAAATAAAAACTAAAGATTTCATTTTGTAGCATTTTTTATTTTTAATGACAAGGTCTTTCTCTTATATTTATTTCAGAGTGTATGACTGTATAGATTCTACTAAGTACATAGATTTCACAATATTTTAAAAAATAATTTAATTAATCTGTTTTTCAATCTTTTTGTATTAGAAGTATTTTTGTCCTTTTTGGTTTTAGGAAGTTAGGTTCCATGCTTTCTTTTTCTGACCAGTTTTAACCCAGTTGTTTTATTGCTACTTCTGTTGGACCAGATCTTACTTGTAAAGCAGAAAGACTACTTGACTCCAGAAAAGATCAACTAGCTTTGTGCTGTGTGTGCCTCTCTTCCTCCTTCTATTCTTTATTTCTTTTCTGATGTGCCAGATACACATATATCTGCAGTATAAATGATATGTGTAT